TGGACCCTATCCAGTAACATCAAACTTGAGATCCTCCTGCCTCAGCTTCATAGTGTGTGGTATTACAGGCCTGGGTCACCACCTAGTTCCTTGAGACAGTTTTTAAAAAACAAGAATATGCAAGCATACATTCCATCAGCCATTGGAGCAATGATATCATCAATAGTCATGGAACTTCTGGAAAAGTCCACTGAACAAATTGTGGGAATGAAAGGGAAAGGCAAAAGGCTTTTTGAAATCTTTTATGAAAACAGTTTTGACCTTGTGGACCCTTAGGGTTCCCCCAGCTACACTTTGAGAACCACTCCTTTACATAACCTTTGTCAAAATAACAAAATATAGAAGATCTTTATATCATCAGTAAATACTCAGCCCATATTCAAATGTCTGCCATTGTCCCAGGAGTAATTTTTTACAGCTTTTCAAGGAACCAGGACCCAGTCAAGTTTCCCTGCATTTGGTTATTATTAGTATTTAATGTGTATTTAGTCTGTTGATCTAGAACAGTTTTGTACCCTTTTTGCTTTATGATGCTGAGTTTTTTTGTGTATGTGGTACTAGGAAATGAACCAGGGCCTTCACACCGCACTACGCCCCTAGTCCTCTTTTATTTTGCGATAGGGTCTTCTACAATGCTAAATTGCCCAAGCTGAGCTTGAACTTGCAGTCCTCCTGCCTCAGCCTCCCAGAGTGCTGGGATCACAGGTGTGTGTGCCACCACGCCCCGTGACAATGACTTTACAAGCTACCTGGCTTGTGTTACAGGATGTCTCATATTCTCGATGTGTTTGATTGTTTCTTCCTGGTATCACTCAACTTCTAAAACTTCTCTTTCCTACAAAAGGAAGTAGACTGTAGATTGTTTTGCGTGGGATAATAATGAGATAGCAGACATCCAGCCTTTGCTTCTCGCCAGGCCTTGTGCTAAGCTCTGTCTGAGAATTTTCTCAGCTTTCATCTTGAAGGTCTTCAGACTCAAACAGTGTACCCCTCGCCATTTGGGGGAGGAAGAGTTTGAGGTAACTCGGATTTGAACCTGGGCAGACAGACTTCAGGGCCTTGCTGTTAGCCGTGCAGGTTTTCAGCTCCCAGGTGACGGAGCGAGGTTTAAACAGATGGTCCTGCTGTGGGGTTGATACCAGGTCTCTTCTGTTAGAGTCACCTGTTCCCAAATTATCTCCTTTCCTCAGTGGCTCAGGACCCAGAGCTGTACTTTGTTCCCTCACTCCCCACCCTGTCTCAGTACAGGGTGGCACCGGGCACTGACATACAGAGCCCACAAGCTTCAGAGCCCCAGAGGCTGCGCAGGTCTGCCACTTCATTCCCTGTGACACCAAGCTGTGTATCTCTCTGGGCCTCTGTTTCCCCGTCTGGAAAATGGGTACAATCCCAGGACCAGGACTAAACCAGTGCAGCCCTGGAAGGTTGTTAGAGTACTTGCTGCCACACAATTGGTTCCAGGGAGAAAACATTTGCACTCAACACTGCTGTGGTTTTACTTTCACAGGGCAATATGCCCTTCCCTCCTAGTTGTGTTGTAAAATGTGACTGTAGTTTTTGTTCTTTTCTTCGTGTTTATTGAGGGGCTGAGTCTTATTCTGTTCCAGGCTGGCCTCAAACCCGAGATCTTCTTGTCTCAGCCTCCTGAATGCTGGTACTGAAGCTTGTGTGGCACCACACCTGGCTACAAGTTATCTTTTGGTCGAGATGCCTGACTTCCTTTCTAACTTGTAGCTGTGTCACAGGAGAGCTAAGCCCAGCGTAGAGTAATAAATAGTAGCTGACATCGAATTGCAGGCAGCAGGGAGTGGGGAGCCTATGGTAAATTTTTGGGTGCCTTTGTCATTTATGGGGGACAATTCACACTGGATATTCGTGTTTAGGAAGAAATTCAGCTTTATTCTTCTGTATTTATTTTGCTTTTTTGAGACAGGGTCTCACTATGCAGTTCAGGCTGGCCTTGAACGCACTGTGTAGCCCAGGATGGTGTCAAACTTGGCTCAGTCCTCCTCCTTCAGCCTCCTGAGTGCTGGGATCACAGGCATGCGCCACCACAACCAGCCTCTTCTGTTTTTAAAAATGAAACTGAAAATACACATTTTGGAAATAGCACCCAGTTTTTAAGGTCACGAAGTAAATTTAGTCTTCTAGTAATCACCGAACAGCAGTTCTTTGGGCAGAATCTGGCCCTTGGGCTCCACTGTGTCCCTGCTGACAGATGGGCCTCGTTGAACCTTCATAACTGTGTTGTAAGGTCAAAATTATTTTCCCCATTTTACTGATAAGGAAGCACGAGAAAGCTACTTGCCTGGAAATCATACAAGCCAAGTGAGCCAGAATTTGAACCCAGGAGGCTTTGTAATTCTATTAGGTCAGTGGTTTTTAAATTTTAAATCATTGTTGTTGGTTTTTTTTTTGGTACCGGGGATCGAACTCGGGACCTTGCGCTTTCCAGGCAGGCTGCGGAACCACTGAGCTAAATCCCTGGCCCTTAAATCATTGTTTTTATTATATAGCACTTAGTGTATCCTGAGAATTTTTTTTTTAATCCTGAGAATTTTTCTAGGTGCTTTATGTACATGAAATAGTTTATATCGGCCATGTGAACTGGGTACAGTTATCATCTCCGTTTTACAATGAACAGATAGGTCCAAAGAGGTGGAATAACTTGTCTGGGGTCACACAGCTATTTAAAGATCTAAGATTAGGGCCCACACCATCTGGCCCCAGAGATTGCTCTTTTTTTTTTTTTTTTAACTAATTCATTTACATAACATGCAGACTAATGTATAATAACAAAATAGGTGAGGCATTGTCTGGGGTGGGGTGGCAGAAGTATGAATTAGAAAAGGGCACAAGGAAACTTTGGCAGGTGATGGAAATATTTTTCATCTGATTGTGATAGCAGTTTATGAAAGAAAGCCTATGAAAGAATGCTGGGCATGGAGGAGCATACCTGTAATTCCACCTACCCAGGAGGCTGAGGCAGGAGGATTCCAAATTGAAGGTCACCTTGGGCAACCTAAAATGACCCTGTCTCAAAATAAAATAAAAAGGGCTGAGGATGTAGCTCAGTGGCAGAGCACTTGGCTGTCATACACAAGGCCCAGGGTTCAATACCCAGGACCAGGAAGAAAAAAAAGATGTAAAAGAAGGGGGAAAAATGCTGCAGTCCTAGTCCCTTAGGAGGCTGAGGCAGGAGGATTTCAAGTTTAAACCCAGCCTGAGCAATTTAGTGACTTAGAGTCTGTCTCTAAATAAGAAAAAGGGCTGGGGGTGTAGCTCAGCGTGAAGGCCCTGGGTTCAATCAGAATCAGAAAAATAGAAAAACCCCCAGGGCCATGAGTGAATTCACCTAAATATTTAGAGAACAATGACTCCAGAACTATTGATAGCATTCCAGATCTTTTGAAGAAAACAGTAAACAGTAGCCAGGTGTGTTGGTGTAAGCCTGTAATTCTGCCTCTCTGGAGGCTGAGGCAGGAGGATCACCTGAGATTGAGCTTCCACCATCTCCCAGTGGTGCCAGGAACTGGGGTCGGAGCCTTTGGGGGATGCTCCAGATCCAAACCTCAGTATTGGGCTAATTCTGCTTAGGGAAATCAGAGCCAGGTAAAAGTCAGTGAGAAGAGGAGGAGGCCTATTGGCCTCTGAGGAGCCTTCGCCTGGGTGGGGTCCCGAGCCCCAAGGGGAGATTCAGGACCTAAGAGTGGTCTCCCTCGCTCTGTCCACACCTGCTCTCCATGCCCACGTCTTTCTGTTTGCTGCTGCTTCCTCCCCTTCTCCGCCTCCCCTCCCCCTTTCCCTCCCCAGCTCATCCTTTTCCTCCCTTCTCTCCCCTCTGGCGCTGATGCTGGGCAGGAACCTGGGTCTCCGTGGTGCTAGGCGCTACTCCCAGAGCTGTGTCCCAGCCCTTCTTCGCCATCTCCTGCCTTTTCCAAAAGATAATGTGAACTAGGAAGAAAACGTCCAAAGGGCAAGGGGAAGGGGCGGGGTGGTAGGGGAAAGGAAAGAAGGGAAAGAAAAAAAATATGAGAAATGAAGGATAAAACGGAAACCAAGTCTTTGTAAATAGGGAGGGGTGGAGGGGTGGATGGGAGGGCAGGGAAATGGGGAAAAAATAAGAACCAAGGTATGTCACATTATAGGTACAGTCCCAATGATGAATGCCATAATGTATACCTAAAATGAACCAATAAACTAAATGAATTTAAAAAAACACCACCACCAAAAGAGCCTGGCAACCCCTGTAATCTCAGTGACTTGGGTGCCTGAGGCAGGAGATTGCAAATTCAAAGCCAGGCTAGACAGTTTAGCCAGACCCTGTCTCAAAATGGAAAGGGCAGGGGGTGTGGCTCAGTGGTAGAGCGCCCCCTGGGTTTGAACCCCAGTAGTGCAAAGGAACAGGTGGACACAGGGACCCTCCGGGGGTCTGGGACTGTGCCTTTTCCCAGAGACAAATATCCTCCCTCTGGACTGAGAATTGAAGCCTAAGCTTTGTGAAATAGCCCTTACCCTGACTGGGTAGCAGGCACCAGGGATTCCCTCTCCATTCCTCCATTCCCTGTCCATTCTGCTCTGCTCTGCTCTGTGCTGCAGTTAGTTCCTAGCTTGGGGTGACTACATATAGTGCTGCTGGAGGCTTGCTTGCAACACAGGGCTTGATGTCTGCTGAACCCATGCTCTCCCACTGAGCTACATCCCTAGCTATTTTATTTTTATGTTTAACTTGCTTATCTTTTCCTTATTGCTTTGGAAGATCTGTTGGTATATAAAGCATATAGATTACTGTGTATCTATCTGTGTGTTACAACTGTATTTTCCAGTTTATTGGTTCCAATTTTGTGGTGGTGTCATCATTCAGAAACTTTGAACTGAGTTTAAGCCAGACTTGTTGATCTTGTCATCAAAATGTGACCCCAGGTGAGGTGAGGCTTCCGGGCTGGAGGCCTTGAGGCTTGTTGGTTGGTGACTGTCCCTCTACTTCCCACTCCTGCCAGGCCTTGGAGACCCGGGCCAGCCCTGGCCATACCCCGGGCTGTGTCACCTTTGTCCTGAATGACCACAGCATGGCGTTCACTGGAGATGCCCTGCTGATCCGAGGGTGTGGCCGAACAGACTTCCAGCAAGGTGACTCCCGCCTTTACCCAGCCCAGGGCCTCAGTGTGTGCCGTGCCGGGGCTTTCAGTGTCGGTGATGGGAATGAATGAGTGGAGTTTAGGTTTTTAAGGGGTCAGTATTAGATTTAAAGAGTTGAGCTGCTGGAGTATGGGAGGAATTTGATTTATGTGGCCAGCTGTTAGAGGATGGTTACATTCACGGTATATTAGTTATCTATTGATGTATAACAAATAACCACAAAACCTAGTGGCGTAACTACTGACTTATGCTTACCGTCTCACACTGTTTCTGAGAGTTGGGAATGTGGGAGCAGTTTAGCTGGTGGGCCTGTCCACTTTCTTTGCCAAGAACCTTCTTGGCCTCCCCGGGGTGGGGGTGCTCCTCCTCATACTTCAGGCTCTCATCCTAACTTCCTGAGTGCCTCATTGTACTGGTGGACTTCTTAACATTCCTCAGTCCTGCGCACATGCTGTTCCACCTGCCTAGAATCCTCTTCCCTCTGCCTAGACAAGTGGGGATTGGCAGAGGAGTTTAGCTGTAGGGATTTTCTCCTCCTATTCTTTTCTTGGGGGAAGAGCCAGGGCGCTTCTCCTGTCCTGTGATCCACTAACCTCTGAGCTTTCCTTCCCCAGGCTGTGCTAAGACCTTGTACCATTCTGTCCACAAAAACATCTTCACACTTCCAGGGGAGTGTCTGGTTTACCCGGCTCATGATTACCATGGTGAGGCCTTGCTGAAGGAGGTGTGGGGCTTCCATTGCTTGGGAGAGGGGCTAGCAAACTCCTGTAATCCTCATAGGGTGTGGAGACTACAAGTCCCAGAAATTCCTCTGGCCAAAAAGGTTCAGTTTGGGGGTATGCAGCATGTGGCTGTAGAAACTACATAAATCCCAGTGTTCTCTGGGACCTGGGTTTCCCCGGGCTTCCTTATAGCTCAGGAAACTGCATTTCCCATAGTGCCCATCAAGAAGAGAAAAATGATTTAGGGACATTCTGGGAAGAGCCTGTTAGATCCAGCCCAGGGCGGTGCCCCAAGGATGTCATTTTAAGAGGCCCAAGGTACTGGGCCCCTTGACTTTCCTTCCCTTCCCTTGGCTACTAGGGCTTACAGTGTCCACCGTGGAGGAGGAGCGGACTTTGAACCCTCGGCTCACCCTCAGCTGTGAGGAATTTGTCAAGTTGATGGACAACTTGAACTTGCCCAAACCTGTGCAGATAGGTAAGTACCTGGGGAACCCAACTCCTTGGTCTCAGAGAAGAGGGCTGGGCCAGGACCTCTGGGTCTGAGGGAGGAGGGCTGGGCCTGAGGGAAGATGGGGCTCAGGACCAGAACTGTAATTCCACAGAAAAGAGCTTCTCTTGATTCTGGGTCTTCATCAGGGCAGGGATCTCCCAGGCCTTGAGTTTTATCCGTGGTTTTTCCTTTCAGATGTTGCTGTTCCAGCCAACATGCGCTGTGGAGTGCAGACCCCACCTTCCTGAGCTGTCCTGTCAGATTCTCCTGTCCGTGGTCAAGAATGCACCGGTGGGGCGAAGTGGGAGCTGTCATTGCTGGGTCTCTCTCCTCTCCCACCCCTACTCCTTCCAGCTCTTTGAGCTTCTTAAATAAATTTTTTTTGTCTGTGAATCTGACTTCTATTTTCTGAAGGGAAGCTGGGGTGCTAGGGAGGATGAGGGCCCAGGGGGCTGACATGGCTGAGATCCTAATTCATAAGACAGTAGCAACTATAGATTTCCGGACAAGTATTTTTATGACCTCAGCTAGAACCCAGTCTTACCTTTGAACCACTTCCCCCTTAGAGCCCCGTAGTAAGTTACTTCCCCTCTCTGGTCCTCAGTTTCCTGATCTGTAAAATGGGAATAATAATAATAGAGTGCCACGAAGATCTGATAAGTCCACGAATGTGCTGCTCTGCTGATCCTATCGGAGCTCACTATTACTGCTATCGTCTGGAATATCTCTCAGGCACTTCCTGGCTCGTTGTGACAGTTCACCTAATGATTAATCACATGGATTTTGAGAGAAGGAAATTGGTGATCCATTTACAAAGTGTAGATCTGGGGTACACTTGTACCTCCAGCCTCAGTTTCCCCAAGTATAAAGTGGACGGTAATTGCTTTTGGGTGGTCTGCTGTGAGATGACTGTTTAGCATGGAGGTGGAACCGAGGGGAGCTCTACCGCTGAGCTGCATCCCCATCCTTTTTAAAAAATTTTGAGACAGGGTCTTGCAGATTCACTAAATTGCCCAGGCTGTGCTCAAGCTTGCCATCCTCCTGCCTCGGCCTCCCAGAGTGTAGGGATTACAGGTACTGTATACACCACCAGGCCAGGCTTCTTTTTTGTTTACAGAGAGGGTCTGGCTACATTGTCCAAGCAGGAATGGAACCTCCCATCCTCAGCCTCCCTAGTACTGGGGGTCACAGGTGTGTGCCACTTACCAGTTGTTTTCCTGTTTTTGCCCAGAGAGGAAAGGGTCTGGCTGAGAGCTTTATTCTCTGCCCTCCACCCCATGACAAAGTGTGTGTGTAGGGGGGAGTGCACTTCCCTCTGTTTCTGGGCTGGTCACTGACTCAGCTCAGGGCACCCCTGGCCCCTGTCCAGCTCCCTAAACCGGTCGGGGCCCTTCTAAAGGCTTATTAGAGGGGAGAGGCCCCCATCTCCATTCCTATCTTCCTTTGAGGACTCAGGATCTAGGCATCAGGGAGGCCGGCCCTCCAGGGGACAGGGACGGGTGCGCGGCCTGCAGAGGAGAAGGCCGCGGCCGTGGGTTCTTCGAGGGCGGAGCCGGTGGGGCCGGGAGGCCCGGGCGCCGCGGGGCCGCGGGCGGGGCGAGCTGGTCGCTCCCTGCTCCCTGAGAGCTGTTGGACCTGTTGTCCCCCCTCCACTTCCGGGCTGCTGGGGAGGGGGACTGGGCGGCCTCTTTCCTCCCTCTTCCCCAACCACCTGTCTCGCCGCAGAATCCCACAGTACGCAGAGCCAACGCGGAGCTGGTGAGCGGGGCTGCGGGGGGAAGGGGCTGCGGACTCGGCCTCGGGGCAGCGGGAGCGGAGGAGCTGGAGCTGGGAATCTGGTTCCCTGGAGGGACGGACTCAGGCTCAGGCTTGTCCGGAGAGCGGGGGCCGGGAGCCCCGACTCCTGGATCCCGGGGTGAGGCTGCGTAGGTGGGGTCAAGACTACTGGGCTCGGGGGAGCAAGGGGGTAAGTCCGGAGGGAGGAGATGGGGTGGCGCTCGGGGAAGCCGGGTGATCGAGGGGGCTGCTTGGGGGGGACCGAGGACATCTGGCAAGCATGAGGCTCGGGGTCGGAGAGCCTGGGAAGGGGCGTGCGAGAACCCCAGCCTCAAATCCCGGTCCCTCCGCCGGGGGCGTGGTGCCCTAACCGCCTCAATTCACGCCCCGCCCCAGAAAGCTTCAGGCCACGCCCCCGGAATGCTCCGGGCCAGCCTTTGAACTCCGAGCCCCTGCCCCCTGGGAGGCCTCTCCGAGGCCACTCCCCCACGCCTCCGGGTCACGCCCCGACCTCCAGGCCACGCCCACCCGCAGCCACCCACAGCGACCATGGGGACTCCGAGCAGCCCGGAGAAGGGTTCTCCGTTGCCGCGAGTCCCGGAATGCGACCTAGAGGGCCAGCCCCGAGGAGCTGCCCAGCCGCAGGGGCGCCCGGAGGAGGCAAGCGAGCAGGAGGCTCCTGAGGCCCCAGAGGAGCTACCGAGCTGCCGAGGGGCTGAGCAGCAGCAGGCCGAGGAAGAGGAAGGAGAAGGCAGCAGCACCGAGAGCACCCGAGACGAGGTGAGGGCCAGGGGCGACAGCCACGGGAGACCTCAGACGGACAGGGGCTCGAGCAGGTGTCTGGACAAAGAGATAGCAGACAGGGAGAGACTAAGAAACGTGGACAGCAACCTGGGAGAGAAGCTGGGAGCCCCAGAGAGACAGAGGTGGACCGAAAGGGTGGCCACAGACAGTTATAGGTGAGGATCAGACAGGCGACACCCAGAGGCCAGAGACCCAAAAGAGACAGAGGAGAGTCAGAGTTCAGAGAGAAGGGGTTAGAGTCAGAGAGAAACCCGAAAACAAAAGGCAGAGATACTCAGAGAAACGGAAACGGGACACAGGAAAAAAGAAAGGACACAAATTTTGAGAAATACTGCGAAAGAGAGCCCTAACGATTCGGAGGCAGGAGACAGAAGCCCAGAGAAATTGAAGAGACAAAGACCTGTGTGAGGAGAGGGACGGAGATCTGGGGACTACACGAAGGTCACGCCGAGAGGAGACTTGGACAAAGAGCGACACTGATCGGAGGGTCAGCGGGCCGCTCTGCCCCACCCCGATCTTAAATACAAGCCCAAGACTGCTCCTGGGCTTGGTGGTTGAGTTGGGCCCATTCTGTTCCCCTGAGGGGTGTGAGATGGGGACCAGATTTATTCAGTGACTGCGGGAGCCACTTGACCACGCCCTCTCCAACTTCAGCCCGGGACCACGCCCCCTGTGCGGATGCCGGCCACGCCCCCTGCTCCCGTTCCCCCTGGGGAAGGGGTGAGAGAGGCGGCTCGGCGGCTGCGAGGGCAGCGGCTGGAGGCGCTGACCCGTGTGGCCCTGATGGAGCAGCGCGTGAAGGAGCTGCAGCGCCAGAAGAAGGAGCTGAGGATCGAGGTGAGGCTGCGGGCCACTTGGGAGTCAACCCGCCAGGCCAGGCTCAGCCCTTCCCTCCCACGGGGTCGGATTCTGGGTGCCCAGCTCCATCTTCTCTCCAAACCCTGATGCCTTCTGTGTCTTCCTTCGGAACCCAGGAGTTCAGGCCCCCGGACACCCCCTCCCCTCCCAGCCGTCCCCAGCCCCGGCCTCTGGAGCCCACGCCTAGCTTTCTCCTGGCAGATGGAGGTGGAGGTGGCCCTGCTGCGGGGCAAACTGGCCGGGGAGCGCGTGGCGGCCCGGAGGGAGGAGGAGCGGCTCCGGGAGCTGCTGGCGCCGCGGGCGGACGCCGAGAAGGGCCGCGAGCAGCGGGAGCAGGTTGGTCTGACGCTGCCTCTGCGTCCCTCTCCATCCCAGCCCGGTCCGGCCGGTGCTCCGGGCCACGGGGCCGGGGGCACCCTCATTCCCCGAGGGGGCGCTCGTGCTGGAAGAGGGTGAGAGCCAACGCCTTGGCTTGTTCAGTTAACATCGGCTGTCCATGGCTTTAGCGTGTACAACTTACAAGTAAGAACTGCTCTTTTTCTTGCTTTGTGGTACTGAGGATTGAATCCAAGGAGAGCTGAACTACACCCCCAGCCCTTTTTATTTTTTATTTTGAGATAAGGTCTAAGTTTGCCCAGGCTAGGTTCAAATTTTACACCCTCTTGCCTCAGCCTTCCGAGTAGATAAGACTACAGGCATGTGCCGCCTCATCCCCTTATTATCTCGCTTTTAAAATTAGGTGGTAAGGGCCGGGGATTTAGCTCAGTGGTTTCTCCGCCTGCTGCACAAGCGCAAGGACCGGAGTTTGATCCCAGGTTCCAAAAAACCCCCAAAACCAAATTAGGTGGCAATAAATAAATAAAAATTAGGTGGTATGCCAGGGATGGCCTACATAGTGAGTTCAAGGCCAGTCTGAACTGCATAGTATGACCTTGTCTCAGAAAACAACAACAAACAACCCCCCCAAAAAAACCTCTAAAAAGCAACCCCCCCAAAAGAATTAGATGGCTTGTTTGAATCAGGTCCTGGAAAGGCCGTGAGTTGTGCTTGGTTAATGTGTCATACGTGTGGGTTCATTGTCTCCTGTGGGTCTCACCCACTCTGTCTGCTCCATACTATTTGTTGGAGAAACCAAATCTTCTGTCTCAGCAGCAAGATGTGGCCGGTTGCCTACCTGTGGGGATGGGCAGTGACCTCTGTTTCTGTAAGCAGGTGGTCCTTTGGCTCCAAGGCTGAATCTGATGTCCTTGGGCCTTTGGGGACATCATCTGTGGAAGTCCAGCCCTCCCTGATCTCCTCTGAAGAACCTTTGTCTAAAGATTTTAACATCTACCTGTGGGCACTGCTAGGAGGTTATCATTATAGCTTGGCAAATGGAGACTTTGCAGTTGGGTCAGTCTTTCTCTTGTGAAGCATCTGGGGTATGGAGTTTCCTGGGGCTGGTCCCAAGCCCTCATTTACAGTCAAAGAGCCTGAGCTCTACATGCCCTGCGTCCTCTGATTCTGCCTCCTAGGTCCTCCTTCTTCCCCTAGACCCAGAAGTCTGGCTCCAGCCCTCTTCCCTGATTTCTGAGGCTCACCTTAAGCCCACATCCAGGAAGCCTTGGATTATCCCAGCAGAAATTGTTCCCTGCATCATGCTCCCACCTCTCCGTGTTTTGGGGTGGTGATTGCTCTGGGTGTTAACTGGCTGTGTCTCCCCCTGGTGAACAGGTCCTGGGTCTGACCCACTTCTGGGAACCCAGTATCACTCAGCACAACACATTTAGCATTAACTCCTTCACTCATTTCTTCTTTTCTTTTTCTTTTTCTTTTTTTTTTTTTTTTTGAGATAGAATCTCACTATATAGTTTAGACTGGCCTTGAACTCATTATGTACCCCAGGCTGGCCTAGAACTGGCATCGATCCTCCTACCTCAGCTTCCAGAGTGCTGGGATTACAGGCATGCACCACCACACCCAACTTTCTTCACTGATTTCTTTTTTTTTTTTGGTACCGGGTATTGAACTTGGGTCCTTGAGCTTGAGCAGCAGGTGGTGAAACCACTGAGCTAAATCCCCGGCCCTAATTTCTTAAAAGCCTGTTTACTTGGTGCCTGCTCTGGGCCAGGCCTGTACAAGAGCAAACTGGATAGGTAGGGGCCCCTGCCTTCCACGAGCTGACGTCCAGGGCTGGCCAGACCCTTCAGGCTGAGCTCAGGCTGAGGCCGAGAGCCTGGTTGTTGTTTCAGGAACAGCAGCGACTGTGCCAGGAGCGGGAACGCGTGGAAAGTCTTCACCAGAGACTCAGAGAAGCCCGAGGACAGCTTGACTCGCAGCCAGAGGACCAGCATGAGTGGCTTCTGCAGCAGGTGCAGGAGGTGAGTGCTCCTCAGCATCCACCCAGGGGTCTGCTGTCCAGGCTCAGGAGTCCAGGCTGCAGCCCTCTTCCCTTAGACCTAGGAGTTCTGGCTCTAGGTTACTGTTTCCCTGGGATCCAGGGATCCAGGCCTCCAGCCTTTTGGTGACCCCATCCCCAGCTAAGGGAACAGCTGGAGGTGGCTCAGCGTGCCTATGAGGACCTGGAATTCCAGCAACTGGAGCTGGAGAGCCGGCAAGAGGAGGAGGAGGATCAGGAGAGCCCTGGGGCCCAAGCACCAGAACCCAGAGTCCAGGAGCTTCAGGGCAGTGTGGCCCAGCACAAGGTGAGTCTCCGCACATTCGCCTTGCCTCTGTCCTCTACTCTTTGACACTTATTGTGCCAGACATGGTTTTAATCATTTTGTGAGTATTCACTCATTAAATCCTCATAGCAAACCTATGGGGCAAGTCCTGTTCTTTTGTTCCTATATCAAAACAAAGGAACAGTGGGGGACGGTGGCACACATCTGTAATCCCAGGCTGAGACAGGAGGATTCCAAGTTTGAGTCTAGCCCACACAACTTAACGAGACCCTGTCTCAAATAAAAGTGGGGAGGTCCTGGGGATGTCACCCAGTAAAGGCTCTTGGTTCAGTCCCCAGGACCACAATAAATGAGTGCTTAGGGTGCTATGGGATGCTCCCACAATCTTTTCCAAGGTCACTTAATTCATAGAGGGTAGAGTTGACATATAGATATTCTTCATTGAAGACCTATCTGTGTAACGACTGTTCGACCCGTGGCTCAGACTGATGACTTGCCTTTTTGGGGTACAACATGCTGTCTTATTTGCTGATTGTGCAGTGCAGTACGGCACTGTAGTTTTATGTTCTGTTGTACTTTACAGTACTGCATGTAAGAATATGCAAATAAAAGCAAAGTCAACAAGTTGGAGTTTCTCTGACCATGTCTTTGTTCTGAATATTGTATGACTGGTTGCAGGAACAGAATTTGGTAGTTAAACGAGGAATGTCTCATAAACCTCTTCAGGTTTCACCGCCTCACTCTGTGCCTCACAAGCCTTTATCCAAAACAGATGTACCCATGGCCCTTCATTTGTGCCTCCCTCTCAAGGCCCTGACAAGGCCTGTGTGAAAAAGGGCCATGTTTCACTATACCCTTTGGGATTGAAAAGCTTTTGGTGGGGGCTCTCCTTCCTTCGCTTCTCCTGATCCTTTTCCTATCCCTCTTTTCCCTTTCTTTGTCTCAGATGGTTCCTGTATGTTTCTATTTTGTTTCCATCTTGTCTCCTTTCTCTGCAGTTTGTCCACATCTCTGTGTTGAGTCTGTTCTGGCTGCTGTTCTCTGGGGCTGCTCTGCTTTGTCTCCCTGATGGTCCTTTTCTTTCTGTTCTTGACAACTGTCTCTGGGTCTCTGTTCCCCTTGGTCTCTGCCTGTACATCAGATCCTCCGTCTCCTCTGCCAATCTGAGATCTTTTTTAGATCCCCTAAAGAGAAGAGGGCACTGGGGAGTTTAACTCAGGGTCCTTGGCCCTGGACACTGAGATCCTGTGGTTTCGGGAGAGGCTGGGGCCAACCCCAGGCCCTTAAGGAGGACCCCCTGCCCCGGGAAGGTGGGCTGGGGCCCTGTGGCAGCTGAGTAACCAGGCAGGGTGTTCTCAGTGCCGGATCCAGGTCTTGGAGGAACAGCTCAAGTCCCTGGGGGACCAGATGGCAGCTGAGATCTGGGGGCTGAGGCGGAAGAAGGAGGAGGCCCTCCAGGCCCTGACACAGGTGAGTTTGCCCTGAGAGACCTGTCCTTAGGCACCTGTCCTGAGTCCTCACTTCTGCTGGCATCCTGCCATCTCCCCGAACCTGAGATGTTTCCCAGCATCAGGAAAGCTGTGGGGATAGCCCATTCTGACTCTGAAATGTGGTAGCCATGATGTCTTCCCCTAGGAACGGAGCCGGCTGCTGGAGCTTAGTCGTCGCCTTCAGGGAACACTTGGTGGGGATTTCTCTGAGTCCAAACAAGCGCACACTAAGGTATGGGGATTTTGAGCACCTATCAGACCCTCTTCCCTCAGACCCAGGGGTCCAGGCCCAGCCCCTCCCCTCTCAGATCCAGGAGTCCAGGCCCAGCCTCCTCCTGAAGACCCCTGGTATCTTTTATCCTTGGTACTCAGGAGTTCAGGCCCCAACTGTTCCTTCTTAGAAAAGCAGTTGTTTTGCCCACAGACCTCACCCTGGGAGACTGTGGACATTAAGGATTGCAGTCTGACATTCCGGCCCCCATGTGACCAGACTTTTGTTTTTTCCATCTGAAAAATGGGCCGCCTTGGAGTCTGACTCAGAACTTGTGGAAACTAGTGGTTTCTCTGTAGTCCTTTGTTTCTCCTTAACCTTTGTCCCCTCTCCCCAGCTGCTGTTCACCCAGAAGACAGACCGCCAGCTGGTGGTGCTGCAGGACCCCTCTGTCCACCCTGCTGCCGGCTCTACCTCTTCCTGCCTCTTTTCCGTCTGCAGCTCCCTGCAGGTGCCTGACCACTGCCTCCCGAGTGTCCATGGCCATGTAGTGGGTGGGAGGGCTGAGGACAGAGCCATCTACTGGGGCTCTGCCTGGGGGTGGGGGAGACGAGGAAGGCTCACCAGGGGTATTCGATGGCTTAAGTTTAAGTTTCTTTCCTTTCTTCTGCCTAACACCCCAATACTCCCTCACAAGATGGGAGCATGTGCGCTCAAGAGTACATTTTTTTTTTTTTTTACCGGGGATTGAACTTGAGTCCTTCCACTTACGCAGCAGGCAGCGAAACCACTGAGCTAAATCCCCGGCCCAAGAGTACATTTTTTAAGTGACCAAACAGAATCTATTGATAAGGTCTCCTCTCCTCACCCATATGGGTCCCTGGGCCACCTCCCAGAAGCGGTGCAGCTACTTGTTTTTGATCCTCCCGGAATGCCCTAAAATGAGGGCCCCTGGGGCTGTGGGTATAGCTCAGTAGTATAGTGCTGGCCTAGCATGCAGAAGATCCTATGTTTAGTCCCTGGCAATGCAACAGAAACAAACCCAAGCAAACAACCCACCCCCCAAATCTGGGCCCCCATCTTCTTAATGATTTACTCATTGAACATTTTTTCCCTGTGTCCCTGGGATTCAAATCCAAGGCCTGGCATGTGAGATAATTGGTCTACTCCTGAGTTACACCCCAACCGGAGTTGCTACACAATATTTTTTTAATGAAATAAAGTAGAAAATACCAGGGTGCCATGTATGAAGTAAGGATGACTATCACATGAAAAAGTCCTGTTTCTCTTGCAGAGGCCTGTAGTAAGCGTTTACACATTGGTACCCCTCATTATATCATATAAACTTTTTTTTTCTCCAAAAGTGTGTTATAGGGAACAGGGAGTGGATGTTGCCAGAATCTCTGGCATGGTCCTAGCTTCCTGTGAGCCACTACAGCACAAGGTGAATTAAAGAATAGACAGGAAACAAGACTTAGAATTAAGAAGCTGAGTCTTGGGGCATGATCAGTGCTGCTGTGGCAGCAAAGACAAAGGCCCCCAAATGCATCCAGTATTTATTGAATACAATTGTGGGAAGGAATAGGGACCAGGGTATGCTTAGAAGGCATCTAGTGAAATACTTCTGAACACCTGGCATGATGGTGCCAGGCAGGGCTGTAAGGAGTAAGCGTTGCTTCTATTGCTTGGATAAAACAAACTGGTACTGGGACTGGGTGCAATTAGCAAGCAACCCATTGGGTCAGTGAGAAGCCATATTCAAGGGAAAGGATTTTAATTGGGGTCACACTGTCCTCAGATGCAAGTAACTCCACAGAGTCCTGCCACTTCACAGACCAGGGCTTAGGCCTCGGTGACAGCCATTAGTAAAGGAGCAATACTAGCCCAACTCTGCTACCTGACATGCCCATTTGAGGCATGTAAGTCTTTGGTATGACTCCTGATATAAAACAATATAGCCAAATTAAGGGAGGCAAGAAGCAGGTGCCCCTCATGGCCCACTAGTACTGGGCAGGGATGTCTGCTACAGTGTGTATATTAGCTATTGGTGGGCTTATTTATTATCTGGTACTAGAAGTTGAACCCAGGGCCTTTACACTGAGATATATCTTCAGCCCATTTTTAATTTGTTTGTTTGTTTGTTTTTTTGGTACCAGAGATCGAACTCAGGAATTTGCACTTGGAAGGCAGGCAGCAGAACCACTGAGCTAAATCCCCGGCTCCGTTTTTAATTTTTGAAACAGAGTCTTGCAGTGTTGCCCAGGTTTGGCTTGAACTTAGGATCCTCCTTTCTCAGCCTCACAGGATGCTGGAATTACAAATGTGTGCCACCATGGCTGGCCTATTTTTGATTAATTGATTGACATTGATGCCAGGAGTGCTGTACCACTGAGCTACATCCCCAGTCTTTTATTTATTTAGTACTGGGGATAGAACTTAGGACCTTGCGCTTGTGAGGCAGGCAGCAGCTCAGTCTTTTATATTTTTTGAGACAGGGTCTCGTTAAGTTGTTCAGGCTAGTGTGAAACTTATGATAGTCCTGCTTCAGCCTCCTGAGTAACTGAGATTACAGGCCTGTGCTGCCACACCTGGATAACAGAGCTACCTTTGTCTATAGGATGGTTATTCAGTTCCTGCAATGTAAGCACCATGTGCACATAGGTTCAGCCTATACATCTGTGGGTTTGCTTGGTGCAGTGTCTAAGGCATTGGCTGGAGGTGACATTGGCAGAAGGAAGCAAAGACTGATGGGAAGCACAAGTGCTTTGGTCTGGGATTCCTCTCTTATGTAGTGGAGCTATCACTTCCCCAGTCCGAGAGGTTTTAGGCGCTTACAGGAGCCTGCAGAGTGCCAAGACAGTTGTCCCTTGGGACCCACTGGGGACTGGCTCCAGGAACCTTGCGTACACCAATGTTTGAGGAAGCTCAAGTCCCTTCCATGAAATGGTGTGGTGTTTGTATATCAACCTGTGTAGATTCTCCTGTATGTGTTAAATCATCTTTATGTTGTTGGGGTTTTTTTGGTACTGGGGATCAAACTCCGGTCCTTGCGCTTGTGCAGCAGGCAGTGAAACCACTGAGCTAAATCCCCGGCCCCTAAATCATCTTTAGACGACTTCTAGGACCCAATACAACAGGAAGCTGTGTAAATAGTTGTGCTGCAGTGCGTAGGGAATAATGATGAGAGGGAAGTCTGGGAGTTCAGTACAGATGCAGTTTTCTTATATATTTTGGGGCTGTGGTGTGTTTGAATCCATGGATGTGGCACCTGTGGATACAAAGGTCCACAATAAACAGTTAGGCACATAATAAGCTCTTGATCAATCTTGGCTATTTTTTTTTGCATTTAAAATTTTTTATTGGTACATTTTAGATACACATAATGATAACATTCATCTTAGGGAATTTGTACCTGTACACGATATATCTTGCTTCTTCTTTTTTTCCCATTCCCTCCCCTCCCTTCAATCCCTCTTCCCTTATTTACAAAAGCTTTGTTTCCATTTTTCCTTCTATGTTTTTTCTTGCCCCTTCTTTCCTTTCCTTCTTCCCCCTCTCTTGTTCCTCTTTTCTTTTTAACATTTTCTTTCCATTTACCATTATCTGTTACACATTTTGGTCCTTATTTACATTTTTGGTTTCTCACACCAGAGAAACAATTCAATATTGAAATATGTGTGTCTGATTTATTTCACTTAAGAGTAAGGTCTCTAGGTGCATCCATTTAGCTAGAAATGTCTCAAGCTTATCCTTCCTTATGGCAGAGTAGTACTCCATTATATAAAAATCTCACATCTTCTTTATCCACTCATCAGTTGATGGGCACTTGGGCTGTTTCCAAGATTTAGCTATTACAGACTGTGCCGCTATAAACATGGATGTGCATATATCACTGTGGGATGATGCTTTTAATTTTGGGAAGATACCAAGAAGAGGAATAGGTGGGTCAAATGACGCCTCTAGTTTTACTATTTTGAGGAATCTCCACACTGATTTCCACAGTGGTTGCACCAGTCTACACTCCCACCAACAGTGGAGCAGGGTTCCTTTTCCCCCACAGCCCTGCTAGCATTTGTTATTGGTCGATTTCTTCATAATAGCCATTCTTTCTGGGGTGAGGTGGAATCTCACTGTTTCAATTTGCATCTCTCAAATGACCAGTGATCTTGAGCATTTTTTCATATTTATTTCCACCTTGGCTATTAAAAAAAACCTTCTATTATTTAAAATAAGTATAGAAAATCACTTCAAACAAATGCACAGCCTTTGTTTTGTGTTGTTGAGACAGAGTCTCACTATGTAGTTCAGGCTGGCCTTGAACTTGCAGTGATCCTCCTCCCTCGGCTTCCTGAGGGCTGAGATCACAGGCGTGCACCAGCATGCCTGGCTGCACAGCTTCATTATGTGGGGACACCTGTGGCAGGACAGAGCTGGCAGCCACCCCGGAAACCCAGCACATGCCTGCAACAGTGACAGCCTCTGTCTGCCCCTAACCCTCAGCTGATTCTCAGAGTACCATCTCTCCTCTTTCTTTACGCTCTCGCACTTGAGTGTCTACCCCTAAATACTGTAGTGCAACCTTCATGTGTACGTGTCTTTTATATCTCCCTTAATCTGTAGGTTTCTCCCTTCCTTCCTTCCTTCCTTCCTTCCTGCCTTCCTGCCTTCCTTCTTTCCTTCTTCCCTTCTCTTACTGTCCCTCCCTCCCTTCTTTGTAGTGGTACTAGGGATCGAATCCTGTCCTAGCTACCATTGAGTTACATCCTCAGCCCTTTTATTTTATTTTTTCTTTTGAGACAGGGTCTCACTAACTTGTCTAGGTGGAACTCTAACATGAGACCCTCCTGCCTCAGCCTCCCCCAGTGCAGGGGTTACAGGTGTGCACCACCAGGCCTGACTTCTCATCCATTTTTTGTTTGTTTGCTTTTTTGTTTGTGATGCTGGGGATTGAACTCAGGGCATCTGGCATGCTAGGCAAGTACTCTTAACATTGAGCTACAGCCCAGTCCACTGTTTCTTTTCTCTCTCTCTCTCTTTTTATATTGGGGATCGAATTCCAGACTTTGCACTTGCGAGGCAGGTGGCGGAACCACTGAGCTAAATCCCTAGCCTGGTTCTTTTATTCTTTATTATTCACACAGAAATGTTGCTATTTTTTCTTTAAAACATGATTTCAGGGGCGAGCGATGGCACAGAGGCAGGGTATATGTGTAGCATGTGCAGCACTTGGGTTTGATTTCCCAGCATCATGGGGGGGAAATATATTTCATTTTTTATTTATTACTCTCCTTTTCTTTTTCTTGTTTTTATATTTCACTTATTTATTTGCTTAATTTTTGTGGTACTAGGAATTGAAGCCAGGAGCTTGTGAATAATAGTTGCTCTACCAGTGAGCTACATCTCCAGCCCTTTTCTTATCTCTTATTTTAAGCCAGGGTTTTGCTAAATTGCTCAGGCTGGTCTTGAACTTGTGATCCTCTTGCTTCAGCTTCTTGAGTAGCTGGGACTATAGACATAAGCTACCAGGCTGGGCTTATATTTTGTTTCTTTAAACTTTGTGTCTTTTAAAAAGTACTCTCAAATTGACATTCACTTTATTGTTCTCTCTTTCTGTCTCTGTCTCCACATACATAATATGCCCCCCCCAAATTATTCTTTGTTTTCTGAACCACATATTTATCCCTAAATAGTTCTATAGTTGTTGCCTAAGGTCAAAGCTGTTCTTTTATATAACCACAGGTTTTTTTGTTGGTACTGGGGATCGAACTTGGGCCCTTGTGCTTGCCAGGCAGACAGCAGAACCACTGAGCTAAATCACTGGCCCTTATATAACCACAGTTTAATGATCAAATTCAAAAAACTGGCATTGAGACAATCCTATCTAACATCCACAGATATTATTCATATATATATATATATATATATATATATATATATATGTTGTTGTTTTTTTGAGACAGGGACTTGTTATGTAGTTCACCCTGGCCTTGAACTCACTGTGTAGCCCAGGTTGGCCTCAAATTCATGGCGATCCTCCTGCCTCAGCCTCCTGAGTGCTGGCATTACAGGTGTGCACCATCACGCCTGGCATTATTCGTATTTTACAGGTTGTCCCATTAATATTTTTTCAAACATAAATTTTTCTTCTGGTCCAGGAACACAGGTTGCACTTGGTTATCATGTTCATTGATTTTTAGAAAGCTAACATTCCCCCTTGTTGGAAATTCCAGTGGTATGTGAGGATGCTGCTATCCCCACCCGGGTCACCTCCTGAGGGCAGGTGGGTCGTCAGTTTCTTATTGTCTTCGCGGATGTCCTGTATGGATACAGTTGCCCTTGCTTATGCTTCCCCCACTGAGGCCCTGGCAGTGTACTCTGCATGGTTATCTTGGAGATCGTGTCCTACTTGTGTGTAAAGAGCAGCCTCCACATGCACACTCTGCGGAGTTGCCCACTGCACAGCGGAGCCATGGTGCATTTACTGTGTGCTGCTCTGATGGGCTCGAGCTGACCTCCAGGCTTTGGTTAGCACAGGGGCACTGCAAGGAACAACCTTGAATCCACATCCTTTTGCACGTGTCCAGTGTGTCCATCCATAGGCTAAATTATTAGGAGTGGAATTTGGACTTCAGTGATTTATGCATTTGTCCTCTCTTTTTTTTTGTTTTTATGGTCCTTGAGATTGAATGCAGGCATTTTGCACTGAGCTATATCCCCAGCCCTCTTTTACATTTTAAAAAATTTTGAGACAGAGTCTCACTAAGTCACTAAATATCTAGGCTAGGCTCAAACTTTGGATCTTCCTGACTCAGCCTCCCAGATTCCTGGGATTACCGTCATGCACCACCATGCCAGGATGCATCTGTCATTTCAATTAAAAAAGTCCTGGTCTGGGAGCATTTGCCCAGCATGTGTGAGGTCCTGGGCTCAATCCTCACACTGCAAGAAAGGAAGGAAGGAAGTTAGGAAGGAAGAAAGAAGATGAGGGAAGGAGGGACAGAAAAGCCTAACTGGCCTCCTCCAGCAAAATACCCCCAGCATTGTCTGAGAGCATTTAGGTAAAAACAAACAAACACAACAACAACGAAAGTTTTATTGAGATATATTTCATGTATAATACAATCTATTCATTTAAATTGCCATCTATCCATCCATCTAATCTATTATCTATCTCTCTTATCTATTATCTATCTTTTCTTTTCTTTTTTTTCTTTTGGTACTGGGGATTGAACTCTGGACCTTGTGCTTGCTTGCAAGGCAGGCACAGTGCCACTGAGCTAAACCCCAGGCCCTATCTGTCTGACTATCTATCTGGTGCTGGGGTTGGAACTCAGGGTCTCACACATGCTACCACGCACTCTGCCATTGAGCTGCACCCCTACCCAGTGCATTTTAATGTGTTCAGAGTTGTAGAAACTATCATCACAATCAATTTTAGAATATTTTTATTAGTCCCAAAGCACTTCTGCACTCCTTAGCCTTCACCCCTCAATTCCCTCATCTTAGTCGCTGGCAACCACTATTCTGCTTCCTGTCTCTGTATTAGTATCTGCCTGCTCTGGACACTTAGCATAAATGTGTCGCAGATCGTGTAGTCTTGCAGCCGGCTTCTTTCACTCAGCATCACGTGACAGTAGGGTTTTGGGTCTGTGCCAGTTGGGTGGTGGTTGTACTTGGCAGCCTCTGACTTTCCAGTGAGCGGGATCATCCCAAGTGCTCAGGTCCCGTGTGTTTTCAGGGCTCCATTGGGCTCCAGAGGACCGGAAGCCTGTCCCGGAAGCGGGGGGAGAGGGCGAGCCAGAGGGGATTGGCGCGGCCTGTGTCTCTCCATTGTACCAGTGAGGACGCCTCCCCTTCCCCACCTACCCTCCTGCCCCCATCTCCACCTATCCTGTGGGCGGCACAGAGGCGGGGGTGAGGGGTGGGGAGAAATAGGGGGGCTTGGCCGGAGTGTCCCGGCCTCCTCACCTTGTCCTCTCTCCCCAGGAGCCCTTGAGGCCTCCGCTCTGGCATCGGCAGTGGCGGCCTCTGGAAGACACCCCCTCTATCAGCTGCTGAACTGTGGCCCTAGCAATGGGTGAGATGTCAGGGAGAAGGGGGGACAGGAGGAAGAGGCCCGGCCAAGGTAACACGCCCCACCCTTGTTCCCTCCACCCAGCTGCCAGGTCCTCCACCCGGACATCGCCCACATGGAACAGCTCCTGCAGCGGGCTGTGGCGGAGAGGGAGCGGCTGCGCCAGGCCAGGGTGAGACCCCAGCCCTTCCACCCTAGGGAGCAAAGATCCTGCCCAGCCCCTCCTTTTGAAACCAGGGATCCCAGACCCTAGCCCTCCTCCCTCAGACTCAGGGTCCAGACCCCAGTCTTCCTCCCATATCTTGTGAGTTGGCAGCCTCATTCATTCCTTCACCTTAAATCCACAGGAGGGCCAGAAAAGGACCACAGAAGGCTCCGAGGGCCCGGCTGCTCCTGCCATCATGGTCAGTCCCACCTCTGCCCTCTCCCTCTTCTCTCCCTGTGCACTTTCCCCTTTCTTACAGCTCTCTCTTTTCTCTTCTCCAATGCAAGAATAAAGGATTTGGGCTTGGGAAGGGAAGGGCAACTAAAGGTCCAATTTCTGTTCCCATTTCAGCTCAGTCATCTGGAGCACAGCATGTCCTTGGGTAGCTTTCTGTACTTCGTTGTTCTTAGTTTTTAGGGTTTTGTGCGTGTGTGTGGTGCTCAGGATTGAAACCAGGGCCTCCTATACAGTGGTACCTCAGTTCACAAACTTAATTCTTTCCACGATTCTGCTTGAAGAATTTGTTCCACGATTCTGGTTGCAGTCAAAATCGTGGAAAGAATTAAGTACCCTGAGCTAAATCCCAGACCCCACTTCTCAGTACCTCAGTTTCCCTTCTATATGCTGGGGACAATGTTAGCAGATACTACAGAATGAGAGCAAGTTTAATTTTAATTTTAATTTTTGGTACTGGGGATTGAACTTGGGACCGTGTGCTTTCGAGGCAGGCAGCAGAACCGCTGAGCTAAATCCCTGGCCCGAGAGCAAGTTTAAGAAATATTTTTATTATATATATACTCAGGAGACTGAGGCAAGAGAGTTCAAATTCTAGACTGGGCTGGGCAAGCTTAAAAAATAAAAAATGCATGGGATGAAGTTTAGTGGTAGAGACTTCCAGGGTTCAGTCCCAGTACAGCACACAAATATTCAAATAGATGCAGAGGGGGAGTGAATCAATTCATAAACTCCTTGTGCCCACCATGCTGTTCCCACAATTTCCAATAATGAATCTTGTTTTACTTGCTATCATTGTTTAATTAATCCTATGCCTACATCCCTCTCTGTACTGAGATTTTTGAAAGTAAAATTCCAGATAGTGGATGCTTCAATCCATACCTCACTATGGTTCTCCAAAGATGAGGTTTCTTTTTAAAATTTTAACATAACAAAAATTCTACTGACACACTTTATGAGATTATTAATAATTCTTTAGCATGTAAATATATAGGTCCATGTTTCTATTTCCCTACTCTGAAATGTCTTTTTATGGTTGGTTTATTTGAATCTAGATGTAAACAAAACACAGGTGCATTTGGTTAAATGCCTTTGAAATCTTTCTTTTTCTTTGGCATTTTACCCAGGGTGGGCTAGAATTTGAAATCCTCCTGCCTCAGCCTCCAGTGTACTGGGGTTATAGACATGCACCACCACACCCACCTTGAAACCTCTTTCAATCACCAAGAGTCCTTTTCCCCTTATCTTTTTTAAAAATGCCAATTATTTGGGAAAAAATCAAGCCATTTGTCCTGTAGATTTTTAAAATATCCTGCTTCTTATTAAAATTTTACTTTTAGGAGCTAGGCATGGTGGCACACACCTGTAATCCCACCACTGGGGAAGCTGAGGCAGGAGGATTGCTGTGAGTTCTAGACCAGGCTGGACTGCCTAGTGAGTTCAAGGCCTGCCTGAACTACATAGCAAGACTGTCTCAAAAAAAATTTTTTTTAAACTTTTTAACATATTAATAGCATGGATATATTTTGTTAAAAGAACAATACAGTACTGAGAAATAAGGCTACTTTCCCCCTCCCTGATTGCATCCCTCCACAGGCATTTTTTTTTTATTGTTAAGAAGTCTTTGAATTTTTTTTTTTACACTTTCCCATGTGCTTACAGTGGATCAAACCATAGTTTGTAAATTTATTTGTCCCATCAACGAGCACATCATTCCTAATCTGCCTTTTGTTTTCCCTACCATTTGCCCTCTTATTCATTTCTGCCACTTTATATTGAACACCCACTGTGTTCTAGGCCCTGGGTTATAGCCTTGACCCTAATAAAAAGCCCTGCCCTCCAGGAAGCTGATGTTTAGTGGGATAATAGACAAAAAGACATCAATAAGTAAAATAAGAGCATAACAGATGCTATTAGAGCGGGGAGCAAGATAAAGTGGGAAGGGCAGTGGAGCCTTCTGTGCGGTTAGGAGTGAGTTTAACCTCATTAAAAATGAAGCAGTGCTACATGGAAGCAGTTTCCCCCGCTTTGTGGCATCATGATTTATTAAACAGTTCCCCTCCATGCACTGTAGCCTCACCCCACGCATGAATGTCTTTTGTGCAAGTGAGCAGGCACCTGCCCTCTAGGATGTGTGGCTGGAAGCAGAGTGGCTGGGCTGGAGCTGACTTCCTTTCCTTGATGGGGCTCAAGGGGGCTGATACCCTGTGTTTCAGTGCAGGGGATGGAGGCTTGCAGAGGGCTAGGCGTTCCGTGGAGGTGGCACAGCCAGGGAGTGATGGAGTTGAGAGTCCCACGGCCGTCTCTGCGCTCAGCTCTGCCAAGTCCTAACTGGGTGACCTTAGTGAGCCACTGCTTATCTGATGCCTCCCTTTGCTCATCTGCCAGACAAGGACAAGCATGACTTTGGAGAGATAATAAGGCCCCCTTGGCCCAGTGCCTGACACATAGTGGGGGCTTCTGTCCTTGGTGATGGTGCAGGGGTTCCTGCATGAATGAGGCCAGGTGCCCCGTGTTAGACCCCAGGCTCTCCTGGGTGGTTTGGAAACCCAGCCTTCCCTTCCTGGGTCCCAGGTCCTTCCCCACTGCCTCTTTCTCCTCCTTTGTCTCCAGCTAATATATCTCACCTATTTTGAGCCCTTCTTGCTCTGCTCTCACTTTAGGACTCTAAGCTCCCTGTACTCAAAGTGTGGTGGATAGATCCACAGCATCTGTGTCCCTACCCCACAGGAGCTGGTCTCACACACACAGCCAAACCTCTACTCCATCCCCTGCTCTGGAATGACTGATTCTGTCTGCATTAAAAAAAAAATCCATAGGGGACCTTAGCATGGTGTTGCATGCCTGTAATCCTAGCACTCTGGGAGGCTGAGGCAGGAGGACCTCAAACTTGAGCCTAGCCCGAGTAACTTAGTAAGACCTTATCTCAAAGTAAAAAATAATAAAAAAGGCTGGGGATGTAGCTCAGTGCGAATGGAAGTCCAATCCCCAGTACCCCACCCCCACCCCACGCAAATTCACAGGGGTTTTGCTTGCAAGAATTGGTTTGAGGTGGGCCAGAGATTTAGCTCAGTGGTTCTGCCGCCTGCCTCACAAGTGCAAGGTCCTGAGTTTGATCCCCAGTACCAAAAAAAAGAATTGGTTTGAGATACACTGCCCTACGTCTCAATTTGACCTTGGGGATCATATCGTCCATGCATATATTATTCAGAAAGAATGGAAGGGATCATGCTTGCCTCTGGCCATGGCTCTAATAAACAGTAGATACTTTCATTGGCTTCAGTCTTCTCCTTTTCTCTTTATGACCACCTGTTATCAGGTCTCTGCCAAATGAGGCTGGCAGCTCTGGCTGTGTGACTTAGATCTAGCGATTTAACCTTTCTGAGTCGTGGTTTCCACTTCTTTTTTTTTTTTTTTTTTTGGTACCGGGAATTGAACTCGGGTCCTTCTGCTTGCTAGGCAGGCAGGTGGCAGAACCACTGAGCTAAATCCTTGGCCCTATATTTTTTAAATATAGTTTTATTTGCTATTAGAGACTTTTGTGTGTGTGTGTGGTACCGGGGATCGAACTCTGGACCTTGCGTTTGCAAGGCAGGCGCCAGAACCACTGAGCTAATAAATCTCTGCCTCTTCCACTTCTGTAAAATGGGGATTAATATACAGTACTTACTCCCCAGCTGGAGGGGGCAGAGAGCCTACCTAGAAAGTGCCTAGCGCAAGATAATAATTTCTAATTTGATCATAGTAAAAATAATAATAATGCAAACTGAGTTCATGTATTGATCACTTACTATTTGGTCCTTGTTTTACCGAGTAGCACTGGGCCCCCGTTTGGGGAGCCTGACCCCATCCACGGCCCTTTCTCTGATACACACCTGGGGTTTCAGGATGAGCTCAGGAGTGTGGAATACCTGGATGTGCGCTCTAGCACTGCTGCCGCCTAGAAGCAATGTGTGACCTCGGGTGGACTTATTGTGTGTCTCTTCCTCAGTTTACTCATCTGTAAAATGGGGCTCAGAGGCACTGTCCCATGGGTCAAGGAATCGGTGCTCACAAAGCCCCGGAAGCATTTTGCATTTTTCACCCTCGTCCCTAGAGCTAGGAAGGACTCCAGGCTGCAGCACGCCCCTCCCCCACCGGCCCCTTCTCTGCTCCCCGCAGGCCCCGCCCGCATCCCCACCCCACCCTCCGGCTCCCCGAATCCTGGATCTCCGGCAGCATCTGGAGCGCTGGGGCCACAGCCCCGAAAGCTGCCCTCACGTGCGGGTGTCAGGGGTCTGCTGTCGCGGACCCCTGGTGAAGATGGGCGGCCGCATCAAGACCTGGAGGAAACGATGGTTCTGCTTTGACCGCCAGGCCCGCCGCCTGGCCTACTACGCAGGTAACCCCAGCCTGGTCCCCTGGGCCCTGAGTTGCTGGAAGCCCATCCCGGATACCTTTCCCGAACCCCAGGGATGGGGCGGGGGGAGTCCTAGTCCCAATTTTAACCCTCTGGCAGGATTCAGGAGTCTGGGTCCAGCCTCTCTTTCCCAGGGCCCCGGAGTCCAGATCCCCTGTCCCTTTTCCCTTAAGCCCCCCCCAGAATCAGACCCACAGCCTCCTCTGTGACATCAGTGTAGTATAATTCTGTCTCCCAGACCCCATTTTCCTGTATTTTCCTAGGAATACGAACCCTCTCCCACCCCAATACTAGGAGCTGAGGACTCTGCCTCCCTGTATGAGGAATCTGTGGTTTGGAGCCCTCCTTGGCTTCCTTCCCTTCTCAGGGCTGTGGGACTCCAGCGCCCCGGACCCATCCCCAGATTGTCCAGTCTCATCTCATTTCCCACCCATGGTATCTCAGGGACCTTTAGACTGTGACGACATGTTCCTCCTGAGTTCAGTGACCTGGGCCTCAGACAGACACAGAGAGACAGACAGAGAGACACACACACAGCTCTCACTCTCCCTCACCTTCCTCCTCCAGACAAGGAACAGACCAAGCTCAAAGGTGTCATCTACTTCCAGGCTATCGAGGAAGTCTACTATGACCACTTGCGAAACGCCTCCAAGGTGAAGCCCCGCCCCTTGCCCCCTGCCCTTTCTGCTTCTTTAGCTCATCCCCAGAAAGCCACCCACACCCAGTACTGCCCGGGTCTCCCTGTCCAGTACTAGAGACCAACAGCTCCTGGCACTGCAGAGACCAAAAGAGAGCTCAAACTCTGGCTCTCAGTCATTATTAATTTTCTTGGACAAAAGCATTTCAGGAAAAATTTAACAAACACTGCCCAGGGTACAGCAGCAGAGTGTGTACTTAGCAAGCATAGGCCTTACGTTCAATCCAGCACTGGGAAGAAAAGGAGAAAAATGCGAAAATTGTTAAACTCTGATGCCAAGCTGGGAATAAGTGGGAGCATCTAAATGAAACTGTCATTACTCAGCTTTTGCCCATAGTTGCAAATGGGAATGAGCCCCCTGATGTTAAATTTATTTTTCCTTTGTAAAAGTGCAGTGCCAGGGGCTGGGGATTTAGCTCAGTGGTTTTGCCGCCTGCTACACAAGTGCAAGGACCTGAGTTCAATCCCCGGTACCAAAAAAAAAGCAGTGCCAGAAATTTAAATGTCGGCAACAGATACAATGTTGAGAGTGCTCTGTATAGAGAGGGACCGATCATGGATTTTAAAGTTTAAAGTGGAATCTCAGCTGGTGGACATCAGGAAAGTGAGTTTTCTTCTCCAGCCTTAGTTTTCTCATCTGGAGAATGGGCATACTTCAACCCATTCTCTAAGGGTTAAAAACGTAAGGGATGAAAGAGATTGTGGGTTTGGCCAGGAGGTACTCAGTTAATGGTTTCTAGACACTTTCTCCAGTAACCAACCAGGGGGATCTAGATATTTTGGGGGGGAGGTAGAATTTTTATAATACATTAGTGTCCATTAGTTTTATAAAATATTGGGTTTCAGGGCCGGGGATTTAGCTCAGTGATCTCCCAGGCGCAAAGACCAGAGTTCAAACCCCGGTAAAAAAAAAAAAAAATATATATATATATATATATATATGGTTTCAATGTGGTATTTTCCTAAATGTTATATACAAATTTTGGTCATATCCATTTCCCCATTTCCCCATTAATCTCCTTTAACCCACACCCCCACCCCCGCTTCCTCCTTCTTATTCCCTTCCTCTTGTCTAATAGTCTTTGAGGTGGAATTTCAATGCCTGTATTTGTTTGTTTGTTTTGAGAAAGGGTCTTGTTATGTAGTCCAGCCTGGCTTTGAACTCACCATGTAGCCCAGGCTGGCCTCAAATTTACCGAAATCCTGCTGCCTCAGCTCCCTGAGTGCAGGGATTACAGGTGTCCACCACCATGCCAGGCCAATGCCTGTTATTTCTAATACAGAATAAGAATGCATATATTTCTAAGAAAGTAAGGCTGAAAGAGGGGGACATTGGTCCTCTTGTTAAAGTCCTTTTGTTCCCAATTTAATAATAGCATTCTATTATAGCGCTTTTGTTGTGTTAATTCAAGTAATCCTCTTAACCCAATGAGGTAGGTAGCACCATTTAGGAAGACAGATGAGGAAACTGCAATTCACTGGCACTCAGCCTGTAAATAGCAAGACTGGGATTCGAACACAGGCTGTGACTAGTGTGTCCCCCTAACCACCCTCTTCTCTGTTTATTCCAGAGCCCCAACCCCCGCCTGACATTCTGTGTCAAAACCTACGAACGCCTTTTCTACATGGTAGCCCCGAGCCCCGAAGCCATGCGCATTTGGATGGATGTCATCGTGACTGCCGCTGATGAGAACCACGCGCCTTAAGGGGCCCCGCCTCCCCGGGGACGGGGACGTCCAGTGAAGCTCCGCCTGCGCACGCAGCGGCGTTTCTAGGCCCCGCCCACTGCCGAATAAACCTGCGGCGGCTGCGGTTCAGGAGGCTCAGCTGGTCTGAGTCACGGGTTCTGGGCTGCAGGTGCCTTTTTCCCAGACGCCCGACGGGATCGCCACAAGCACTGCCTGGGGCAGGACGAGGATTTCGGGGTTGGAAGGAACTATTTATTGGTGCTCCTGTGTGTGATACCGAATTAAACATGGTGGAAAACGAAGTTGTTGCTGTTGTTTCCAGCCCAGGTGTGTGTGTGCGCGAGTGGGGTTCAGCCCCTAGAGAGGACGACTGAGCAAAGGGTACCTCTGAGAGCCACGCGTCCCACAGCCAGTTTTCTCTTTAGGAATGAAGACCTTCGACACTAAGGCCATGGCTCGAAAAGGGGGTGGGAGGTATGTCCTTTGTGTTTTGCTTTTTTTTTTTTTTTTTTTTCCTGGCATGAATCGCCGGTTGGCGATTTCGCTCAGCTGGGGGCCCTCCCTCCCAGCCTTCCACCTAGTTCCTCATTCCTTAGATTTTAGTTCAGTAAACCCCTTCCTCTAGGAAGTCCTCCCGGACTCTCCTGGCTGGGCTGGGCACCTCCTTTGGAACTCCCCCAGCCTATCCCTGAGCACCTGGCTTATCACTGGTGATGGATCTGTGTGCCTTATAGACTGGGTACTCCTTGAGTATAGCCAGGGCTCCTCTGGTGACCTCTGAGCCCCCAGCACCATAGGGCAAGTCTCTCCATGAAAGTGAAAAAGAAAGCAAATGCATCCTTGTCACCTCTGGGTTTTTGTAATACTGTTTGTTTAAGCATTTCACACTCCTGCCCATGTCCTCGTTTCAGCCCTTTACCTTGTGTTAGCATGTTTCCTTCTCCAGATAGTCCTCCCTGATTGTCCTGGCTGAATCAGGTGCTCCCTCTGGGTGATGACTCTTCCCTGAGTGTCTCCCTTCTCATCCTTGACTGCCCTGGGCCATTGCTGCTGAGGAACCCGCCTGTTCCTCTGTACTGGGCCCTGCTGATGAGTCTGTCTTTCCCTCTGGACTGGGAGTTCCAGGAGGTGGGACTGGGGGTACCTCTGTCACTAATGAAAACAGAGGGCTTAGGTAGTGCAATTTAGGTATTGAGGAGGGTTGTCTGATGTTTGAATGAGTTAGGAAGGAAGTGATTGGAAAGGCTGGAGACAGCCATGAATAAAGCAGCTGTTTGGCTAACTTGTCTTCATCTTTGAGGTTTTATCTAGACTGTTCCCTCCTGAGGGAAACTTTCCTTGGCTCTCAGATGGATCAGGTGCCTGCTATTCTGGCTGCCACAGTCCCCTGGTGCCCCACCTGAGCACTCCAGGCTGTTCATCTGGAGACAGCTCTTTCCTTCTCCCCAACAGTTCCCTCTAAGATCCAGATCTAGCACTCCTGAGTCCTGGGGATGCAGACATACAATCCCCAGCTCCTCTGGGATCCCAGGTGTGAGTTCATCCCCAAGCCCCTCTGCAAACCAGGCCCCTTACTAGGGCAGCTTTGAAGGCTTGTGACCAGGGTAATCAGCAGCTCCTCATGCTCAGGAGAGCCCTGCCCTTGGGTTGTGGTACTGGGAATTGAACCCAGGGCTTCCACACTGAGCTGCATCCCCAGCCCTTTTAAAATGTTTTGAGACAAGGTCTTGACAAGTGGCCAAACTGCCCAGGCTGGACTCAAACTTTCCATCCTCCTGCCTTAGCCTCCCAGAGTGCCAGGATTACAAGCATCCGCAGCCACAGCTAGCTTGGAGAGTCTTAGTTTTATTTTTGAATTTGCGTCAGACTATGATGGGGGATTGGAGCATAGGTCACGAGCGATTCCACTTCCTGGCACAGATTATGCCTCCCTTCCCCTTCCATCCTTTCTCCGTGACCACTGTCACCCTCCACCCCTGACAGGGGCCTGGGCACAGTAGGGTGGGCCTTTGTGCCTAGTGGCATCTTGAGGTGCAGCACAGCAGTGGGTAGTGGCTGGAAGGGGAATCAATCTAATAACCAGGTGGCCAGATGGCCTCCTGTGAGGGCCTGTGCTGTCCCCCCAAGTGTCCCTATGGCCAAGGCAATGTGGCGTTAAACACCCATGAGGAGTCAGGAGACACACCGTGGTGGAAGAAAGGAAAACACTGTTCATAGTTTATTATCTTTATACATTCTTGGCTTTTTTTTAGTACCAGGGATTGAACTTGGGACCTTGCGCTTTCGAGGCAGGTGGCAGAACCACTGAGCTAAATCCCCAGCCCCATCCTTGCCTTTTGAACCACGTTCTCATATTTTTATTTTGCAGAGGACCTCCCAAATTATGCAGCTGGCTCTGCCCACTTCTCCCCTGATATGTCCCAGATAGTGTGATCCAGAGGGTGTGGCTCTGAGGTCAGAGCCTGGCCTGTCCCAGCCTGGATGTGGCCCAGGGCTTGACTTCCAGCACTGGGGGCTGCCTCCCTTGTTGATCTACTGAGGAACCAAATTTGAGAATCTCCTGGTAGTGCAATCCGCAGAGAGGATTTGGAAGAGGCTGGGCAGGCAACAGCCGTAAATGGAGGCCACGCATTCAGAACTCCCACTGGTCTCTGGTCCTGGGCCAGGTGCGGGTCAGCAACTCAGAATCCGGGCAGGCCTGAGCAAGAGGAGGCTCCCCTCCCTGGGTCCCGCTCCCTCCCAAGACGCTAGTTCTTCAGGTCAGGCCAGTTGTGGTCCCTCCCTGAAACTCTCCCACGCTTCTGGGGCCCTGGGATAGGCAGGGCCTCCTGCTTCCAAGCACACAATGCTGTAATAGTATTATCACTTCTCCTGCTGTTCCCTAGGCTCTCCTTCTGTTCCTCAGGATGTAGGGATTTTCAGACTTAACTATCAAGGAGGCAGCTGAAGATCAGAGAGGGAGACAGAATCAGAATCAGGATGAAAATTTCAGTCTGTCCAATTCTAGACTTTTCCACTGCCAATTCTTTCCACTTTTCCACTGTCCAATTCCACTGCCTCACCCCTCCATGAAAGATAGCCCTTCCTTCATTATAAAAAGGACACCCTGGAGCCTCAGAGAGGTGAAGACACATATGCAGGGTCACACAGGCAACCAGGAGCGGAGCTGGGGTTCCAAGGCTGGGAGGCACAGGCCAGGGCTGGATGACCTCATAGGAAGTCATTCACTTTCTCTCTCTGAGCCACAGCAGGATGCCAGGTGACCCCACCTCTGTGACTGGGTTGCTTGTCATTGTTGGGGAGTCTGGGGACCAGATATCTTTCTGGACATGGCCACTATTTTTCCTGCCATCAGATAGCAAGGCAGCCAGGGGAGCTGACTTGGGTGCTTCGCTTGCTGTGTGAAATCGATCAAACACCTTCCTCTCTCGGTCTCGATTTCCTCTTGTGTGAAATAGTTGCTCCTCTCTGCTCCTGCATTGGGAATCATGAGCACCTTGTTTGGCTTATAGCTGGGGCTCAAGATGTGGGGGCTAATAATAACTAATAATAATAAATTGCTGTTAGCAGTATTAGCAACACCTAGAACCAAACCTATTTGCACCATCTTACCTATATATATATATATATATATATGGTTTCAATGT